TATCATTAATATTAGTGGTAGTAATACTATTGGGCCGAATTTTGTCAGCAATAAATGAGCACTTTCCATATGACTTTTCTAGCCTTTCAATTGTTGAATACAGCCAGTACGGACCATATGTAATACTGAGGCCATTCTATTCCTTTCCCTGTCGTACTCATCACTCCAAAAGAATATTCTCATGAATGAAATCGATATTAATTCGAATTAAGCGAGAGTCGAGAAATTTGATGCTTTTATTGGCCAAATTCATTGATTGTGTTCTACTCTAAGAGATCGAAGACACATGCACATTCGTATCCTTGACTTAACTATCCATCAATTCAGCACACGAATGATGCGTGTGACCGTGCAGACCCATCAGATCACCACCCTTCACTCCATGCGTTTACTCACATTCATTCAGCACTGAGAATAATGATGCGACTTCATCATTACAGTATACTACGTATGTAATGCGTGAAATCGCTCGGAACCATTATATTATCATAACAAACGAGCAGACAAACTGCACCAATTAAAAAGCAACTGAGTTGGTTTGAATTCATTTTCAATGTTTTTAAGTTGCTTTGAACTCAGCTTAGACAACTTAATGAAAATATTTATATCTGATGTAGAGTGACCAGTGAGAGTGGGTAATATGTTACACTGATTTCTGCCATTACTATTATTGTTATCCGCATTATCACCGAGATGGTTGTTATTAGTTCAACACTGATTGCACCATTTTCACGTCAGATATTCATCACATTGAATGAAAACAAAAACTTTCAGAAGCAAAACGAACATGCGTATGTGGCGGATTGTTGCTGTAAGGATTGAAGAGCACCTCGGCAAATGCGAAAGCGAATCGCAACTTTATTCAGCGGTTTTTCATTGATCAGTTCGTAGAGTGCCAATGCTGAGATGAAACGTAAGTGTATCTGAAGAATGAATCCTGATTCACATTTATTAAAATTCTTGTGACAGTAACATTCAAACTACACTCATTACATTAACTGTTTCAAGAATCGAAATGAGGTGTTCACTGTTGCTTATTTGATAAATCAATCCATCGAACCAGACGGATGAGACCGATCCGAGAACAACAACTGCTTATCACAATTTCGGCGCACTATCAACTGATAATTAGTGCCCTTGCAAACACTACTACTAATTATAATAGCAATGATAATAATTATGATAACGATACTGATAATAATAGTATTCATCTGTAAAAACCTTCTTAATAGTAAGAGTAATAATAATTACAGTAACATTGGTGAGAATAATAATAACAAAAATAATGCCAGCAACAATGCTCATTATCCAAAAAAGCACTACTGTTCTACAATCGAAGCTAACCAACTTGCAGCAGAGCATTATTCCTGGCTAATCGTCCTTGCATACGTTCCATAATGAAACGTTCTGATATGCCAATCATTTGACCGACGCGTTGTAAACGTGGCGGTAACCTCGACCAAATTGTATGGTAATGAAACCAGTCGAGATAACCAGCCCAAATGGCTTCATTGTTCAGTGGTGTCACCTTAAGATTCGCGTGATGAAAATGGTTCAACCACATGATGAAAATGAATCAGTTTGGTTCTCAGGATAATTCATCGATTGAATGATAAATTCAGGATTATTCACGGAACTGATTGGTCCTTCACCTAATTGAAAAAAAAAAATGTTGCTACTCATGCAAATCGGAAGACAATGCACGATGAGATTGCAGCGATCAAAATTCGACTGAGGTATTCAAAAGTTCGAATTATCGATCAAAATTTGAAACTTCAATGCAGTTTCCTGCACACACCTTCGAAAGTCCTTAAAGCCAGTGATGCATGTGATAAAGGTATCAATCTGCCTTTCAGTTGCATAAAATGAGTGAGTAGAATGAAACGATGTTTATCACGAACTAAAAGCAAGCAAAAAGAAGCAAAGAAAAACAAACCAAATAGAGTAAATGAAGTTCATTGTCAAGAATGAGTGCATGTGATGCTCGCTCAAGATCACCGTAGACAAGTAACGCTATATCTGGAGGCAGCGATGAGGCGAGCACAGCACGACCCAGTTGTGTGGCTCGCAGTATTTCTTTTTCAGAATCATCTGAATGAATCTGTTTAAGAGAACGTTTTATGTTTCGTTTAAAGTTTATGTTCATCAGAACATCGAATACTAACTACCTAGATGCAAGAAACTTCAATTGCAAGAAACGCAATATCTTTGTAATATTTCCGATATCATTCATTTATTCTTCTCGTATTCTAGTCAATGCGTTAAAAGTACTCACAATTTTTCGACTCCTACGACTCTGAATGCAAAATTCCAACCCACCTTACGTGAAATGAAATCGACAGCTCGTTATTATTGTAGTAAGTCATGACACTAATGATACAATAGCTATTTATCTTTCATTTGTGCATAAATATGTGGAGGAAAAAAATTAGTGCACATCGCATTAATATCGACAACTGTTTAAATGAATTTGGAAGTGAGTTCGTCTGATTCGTATGAATGATAACGGAATTAATAAGATCGGTTAAAGTATGAATTTATGAAATGTGAAGTGAAGAGAGTTCAAAGAGCATTGATATACCTTGTTGTGAAGCAATTAATCGTTTTGATAGCAACCATTCTACATCGTCACTCAATTCGGATGCGTTTTGGAAATAAGTAAGAGAGAGCAAATCGTTCAATTCAATTCGATTCTCGCACAAACCACTGCATACGGCCTTCAATCATTATGAATGCTTATCTCTTCACAAACCAAACGACTACGGACGAACTTAGTAAAAAGCTCAACACAATTTTGATCAGGACATTAAAAAATCTTATAGTTAGTTTTATTCATGGCAGAACGTCTACGACAGTAACAGAAAATTACGAAGTTTCACTTTTTTTTTAAAGAATAAAGCCACTCAAAAGAGTTTTTGCATGATGTTTGCAGTAAAAACCGAAATTTTAATCGTAAATTGACGAGAGTCATTCGGAAACAAAAAAGAGTGCAATCAATAATGATCATGTAGAATGCACTACCTCAACGATAAGCTTCAAGCGGCGTCTTTTCACAGATGTTCTTGACAGCAGCGAAGGTGGTTTCAGAATGACTGTCTTGACTGAATCCAGATGCTCTTTTCGACATACCACAATACTTTCACCTGGAATTGCCACATGCTATGACGCATTGAAATTCGGTTTGCTTAAAGCTCACTTCGCTTCATTTGACTGATTTGGCATAGAATTGTTTAGAAAAAACGATGAAGCGTACGATACTACGAATTTGACGATAAATGTATTCGACATTAAGAAGAGAATAACATATTGAAGACGTGATAAGAACAAAAATGAAAGATTCTCAAAATTAGCTTGATGTAATTTTCCAAGGGAGACACAAACAACAGAGAACACGTC